AAAAAAAAAAAAAACAATTAAAAAACAGGCAAATGATCTGAATAGACATTTCTCGAAAGAAGACATACAAATGGTCAATGAACATATAAACATATGCTCATCATCAATCATCAGAGAAATACGAATCAAAGCTCCCATGAGATACCATCTCACCTTAGTTAGGATGGCTACTTTAAAAGACAAAAAAATAAAAGGATGCAGAGAAAAGGGAACTCTTCTACACTGTTAATGGGGATGTAAATTCGTGCAGCCACTACAGAGAACAGTGTGGAGGTTCCTCAGAAAACTGCAAACAGCCACCATATGATCCAGCTATCCCATTACTGGGTATTTACACAAAAGAAAGGAAATCAGTGGATCACAGAGACACCAGCATCCTCACACTTACTGCAGCAATACTCACGATAGCCAAGATGCAGAATCGGCCAAGGTGTACCACAGACAAATGGATAAAAAATGTGTGGCACAAACACACAATGGAATGTTATCCATCCGTAAAAAAGAATGAAATGCTGTCATTTGCAGAACATGGATGGAAGTGGAGGACATTATACTAAGTACAATAAGCCATGTACAGAAGGTTAAATACTGCATGTGCTCACTCTTATGTGGAAGCTAACAAAAAGCCAGTCTCATAAAAGTAAAAAGCAGAACAGAGGATTGAGAGGCTGGAAAGGGTTAGGAGAGAGATTTGCTAAAGGATACAAAAGTAGAGCTAGATAGGAGTAATAAATTCTAACCCACTGTAGGATGACTACAAGTAATAATATATACAGCAGAACCTTCAGAGCTGGCCACATTCCTACATGGATCACCCCTCAGCTAACCCAGTTTTCATAGACTGGACATGTATCACATGTACATATCACTATAGCAGGCCTAGTTCCTCCTGCTGACCACCCCTGCATGCTGACCAGTTTGTCATAGCCCCTCGGATGGTCGACTTACATAGGTTCTACTGTAGTTTTAAAAGGCTGGAAGGAAGACACTGAATGTTCTCAACACAAAGAGATGATAAATGTTTCACATGATGGACATGTTAATTACCTTCATCTGGTCACTATACATTCTGGTATCAAAACATCACCATGGATGTGCATCATCCTCTGTGGATGTGTACATATTTATCAATTAAACTGAATTAAAGAAAGATAATAAACAACTGTCCCTCATTTTGGTTTTCCTACCTATACATATTTTTTTATAATTCTAGTTTTGCTAACCACATCTTAGAAGGAAAAACATTAGGCAGCTTAGATATTTTCTTTCACTAAAAGGAAGATTCAAAGGTCACTCAGGAGTGTTTTAGTTGCATATCTGGTGTTGGAACATGATTACTAGTGGACTCACACTATTTGGTGTTTGAAATATTAAGAAACAAGATCTTTATATTCCAGGTCTATTCCCATGTCCCTTCTTTATGTACATGAAATTCAGTGTAAATTAAAATCAAATAGAAAAATACTCCAGCCTACTTACCTTGACATCTTCTAATCTATAATCAGGGGGTATTGTTTCTTCTTTTTCACCAAGTTTTTCACAGTCTTCTTCTTTGGCTTTATCCTGAATGAAAATCATATCATTTTCAGTGTTAATGTATCTGTTTTCCCATAAAATGGATGGCTGAGTGGCTAAATCTGAGGTAAACAAACCTATTGTTAGGTTAGGATGTACATGCGGCTGTATATTTATAGCTCCTGTGGTGACCATATCTTAGTTTGATGGGCTTATCCATCACTGTATACAGCCTGCTGGTCTAACAGGCAGCTTTGAGAAGCAGGAGGCAGCTGCCGCTTGTCTCCTGAGCACTCAGCAATGTCCACCACACAGGCAGGCAGAGGGGAAATGCACAGAAACCTACCAGGCATGTGCTGTCCATCCGCCAGGGCACTAAACAGTGGCACTTACTCAGGGCTCGCTTATTAAACAGCATATGCACAGTAACAGAGAAAGCTGCCATCAGGGTTTGGAAAATATTTACAAAACTCAACTGATTTATTTATTTGTGTGTGAGGGAAGATGATTGGTGAAATGTTTGAATTGCCATTACCGTGACTTTATCTATCACAGGTTTTTCATCTTCTCGATCTGCTTCCCTTTCCCCCAGGCTGCCAGCCAAGGCCTCTACAGCGTCCTCAGGCACTTGACCCTGCTGCGAACACATCAGTGCATATGCTAAGTGGTGGTGAACAACTCTATCAAACAACTCACAAAGGCACATCCTTATTTCAGCCAAGAAGCACATGTCATCTTTTAATAATGTGAGTTAATCGAAGTACCATCTATGTTTAAAAAATTAAAATATCCCCTCAATGAATCCCTAACAATAAAAAAATTTAAAGTATCAAAAATAAAAGGAAGTTTCTCATATTAAATATTAAGTATATGGAACTTATCTGCTGACATTGAGAAACTATAAAATCTAATCCAGAGTGTTGCTTTAGACACAATGGAATGAGGTGTACTCCAGAGAAGCTACAAGACAGGAAAGGAGAAAGACACAACCTTTATGGAAATCACTCTATAGGTGGTGCAGGAAAGACTTTCAGAAGGCTTCTGAGAGGCAGCATGGCCTGTCTCAGTGGCAGTGGCTCAAGCTGAGCCCCTACTGAGGCACAGAAGTGAGTTTTCTCCACAGGGCTTCTGCTAGTCAACATGGATCAAGCCTGCTTCAGGTAACTCTGCCTGAGGCCCCAAACCCAAGTGGCACAGTGAGAACTGTCTACCTATGATCGAGGTGTTCAAAATGAAATGTGCTCCCTTACTAAGTAATAAACTCTGGCCATGTCAGTGTTTAAAGTCAAACAGGATGAATGAGAACACATGCGGTACAAATGGAAAATAAAGGTGAAATCACATTTGGGCTAAAGGATAGGCCTAGATCTGCCCTTTCCAAACTACAAGACATGATCTGTACATTGGTGGCCCATAAAAATCAATTTAACTATACTGGTTTAAGGCCAGGACTTTCTTTTTAATGAGAAGAGCAGAAAATAGAAAGCATCAGACATAACGGGAATAAGCAGCACTCCATAAGCCGTGTTTCCATTGTACGGACCCTGGATTCTGGCGCCGATGAATTTCCTACCTTTGCTCTTGGTCAGACAGAAGTGTGAAAGCTCTGGGATTAAATGGACTCAGAGTTTAACTTTATAATAAAGATCTCTGACCTCATTTTGAGTATCTATTGGAATTTTAGAGTAAAAGCGTCTTTCTTTACATATCTCAGCCATCATTCCAAGTCAGAACTTTTCCTGCTATGTTGCTCTGTAAAGAGAAGATGCTGCTGAGAGCATCCGTGGAGAGGGGTTACTGCACATGCATTTCACTCCCAGGACCAACAGAATATCCCTGATGTATCTCACTATCCAAGATCACACCTAAACTAAGTATTAAGAGTTGCAGTATTCCTGGTATGGGTTACACTGGTGCCCATGGCTTATCCAGACAAGCTGAGTGCTGCCTAATTTGAGGCAGCACTTTGTTCATACTTTAGTTATGTTTTCCCATACGTTGTTGTCAGGTTTTGGAAACTCACTGTGTCCCAAGTCTGTGCCTTTTGCCAGGAAAATGAAAAAAACAGAATTAAAGAAAAGCTAGAAGAAGCAGTTTTAAAAACTCAGAAACAAGACTAAGGACTAAAACTTCTGTTTCTGTAGTATTTCAAATTCAGAATTAGAACTCAGGCTTTCTGGGTCTCCTCAATTAACTTTCTCTTTATACACATAAGAACCACCCAGGCACATACGTGTCGCCACCTTCTGGTCCGTTTTCCTTTACTCAGTAATCTTCATGCCTTTCTTGAGACTTCTGACCTTTATCACACTCCACAGCTATTTTTTCTGGCTCCCAAGGATGTCACAATCCCAGAAATTCCAATTGCCACAGTGACGGTAGCCTTGGCAACCACGGCCAAATTTAGCAGTACAGAGGTCCAGGACAGGGAAGGGGAAAACAAGAGCTATTTGGGGGGACGGGGGTCCACTAAAAATCTAACGCTCAACTCTCTCTAATCAGGGTAAAACAGGATAGGAACTAGGCCTGGCAGTCCCACTCAGCAGAGGAGGCTGACGCCTCAGGTGTTGGCCACAAGTGCTCTGTTTTGTTCTCTATTCCAATCACTGTCTCTGTTCCTGCTTTTTTTCAGTAGACCCTTCTTCTGTTCCCTCCTCCTGTGGTCTTCTTTACCACTGAAGCCTCACAAAAAGTGTGTGTAGGAGGCATTCTTCAAATTCTGTCTAAGGTAGGAAGGAGACCCTTGATTTGGGATTTGCATCTGGCACCAAGGACTTCTCTGGCAGGAGGCACCATTTCATAGCACACAAGGTGCTTTGCTGGGCCTTCTGAAAGGCCCCCTTTTCTCAAACAGCTGGATGTACAAATACAAATACATCCCGATAGAGTGTATATCCCAAAAGAATGCTTTGAATTCCTGTGCTGGTCTGGCCTTGGCTCACTGATCTTCTGGAAAATGGTGCTGCTTCTCAGTGTGATCCTGTCCTATACCTGCAAGCCTTTCCTAATTCCCCCTGGAGAGGGAGCCTTCGCCCATGTTCCCTCTGCCATTTATGCACATGGTAACGATCGAATTGTAATTGTAAATTGAGATCTGGTCCATATCCACAGGAAGCTAGAAGGAAGTTCTTTCATCTCAGCTGAGGCTCTGAAATGTTAAGTGGGTTGTTCAAGGTCAATTCAAAGCCTCATTTCCCTCATCTGCAATAAAAAGATGATCAGAACAGACTTCATAGTGTCCTTGTGAAAGTAGAAGAAGATATTGCAAAGCATCTAGAAGAATCACAGAACAGAGGATGAAAGTCAGCGATTCATTCAGTGTAGATTTACTAACTCTATAGTATGAAAGAGATTTCTACCAGATTCTGAGTCAGAGTCTATGATTAACTAATGGAAATAAAACCCAATGAAATCAAAAAGAAACAAAAAGTCACCTAGTTAAATATCATACTTCACACAAAGAAAGTGAGAGGAAGGCAAGAAATGAAGAAGGAAAGGGAAACGAATTGAGTCCATTTCTCCTCTTTTAATTGGGGAGGGGGAGGAATCACGATTTTGGTACAAATTATTCCACCAGGACCATCAGATAAAATTAACATTGGACAACCTGTGGATCTCTGAACAGGCTCAGAAGATGCAGGAAAGCAAAAAAGCAGAATTATCTGTAATAGCTGAGGATCTAGAAAAAATTCCATAAGATGAAAGAAAAACACAGTTTGCCGCAATTAAAAATTATCTGAATTTTGAGCACAGCCCTGAAGCCCAAAGAATAAATACTATATAGCAAGATCACATTTATTTTCATTTTATCAGAATACAAAAAAGGATGGTAAAACACACCAGACAAGAATAACAACAGAACTTTCTTAACACATTGCTTAATGCCCAGGGAATCACTCACCAAGGCAGGTGACTTGGGTGGCGCTGACTGTATACTACACATGGAGATCCGAGGCACAGTCTCCGCCACAGAAGTTGGGGCAGTGACCTTAGATTCCTGAGGAAAGAAGAAGGTACTTTGAATAACCTTGGAAATATCTGTTTAATAAGACTCAACAATGACAGACCAAAAAGACATCCTGCTGTATTAGACGCTTTGAACATGACTCGCTAGTGTGCTGAAGAGCAACTGGATAGTAAGTCAGTCAAATCATCTTCAAACTCCTCAACTACCATTATTTCAACTTGGTTTTCTCTCTCACCTTGGGTAGTTCATCTAAGCTACCTGAGACTCAGGGTCCTCATCTGCATAATAAGAACAACCTATATCTCAAGGGTTGATATGAACTCAAATGAAATGATACGGTGGGCACGGTGGCTCACGCCTATAATCTCAGCACTCTGGGAGGCTAAGCTGGAAGGATCACTTGAACTCAGGAGTTTGAGACCAGCCTGAGAAAGAGTGAGATCCTGTCTCTATAAAACAAAACAAAAAATAGAAAAACCTAGCCAGGCAATGTGGGGGCGTCTGTAATCCCAGCTACTCGGGATGCCGAGGTGAGAGCATTGCTCAAGCCCAAGAGTTTGATGTTGCTGTGAGCTATGACACCCAGACATTCTACCCAGGGTGACTGAGTGAGATTCTACAACAAAAAAGAAGAAAAATAATGAGATGATGCGTGTAAAGTGCTGTGCACAGTACCTGGTAACACAGTGAGTAGAACGAATTTGAGCAATCATTGCTATTATTTATATATTTACTTGTCATCATACAATATATAATAAAATATACCTATTACAAAATATATAAGATCTAAAAGCATATTATAAATTATAAATAGCTCTACACAAATGCAAGACAGTAATACTATACCAGGGATTCTCAAAGTGTGGTCTCTGGACCACCAGGGAACTCAGATGTGCATGTTCTGGGGCCCTCAGACCAATGTAATGAGCAAAAATTCTGGGGGTAGAATCTAAGAAGCCCTCCAGGTGATCCTGGTGCGTGCTAGAGTTGGAAAACCACTGTACTATCTTATTTTATCACTAGAGTAAAGTTTCAAACAAGTTGTTTTAAATCTAAACATTCATGGACGCCTGTACGACAACATGTGAGGAACCCACAAGGGTGATAACTGCAGGCCTGGGCTCTACTATGAGGAGCTTACTGTCTACTAAAACCATGTCTGAGTGTTAGCATCTATCAGTCTTTAGTTACAAACTTGTCTGTAACAAATGCTTTAACAGGAATATATTATATATAGATCCATATATCACCTGATGGCCAAGGGAAATACCTGTGACAGTAGTGATATTTAGCAATGAGGTATATAGCACTTTTTATAGGATGAGTTTATGAACTTAATTGTTAGACCTTGTACCATAGATCTGATGGTCATTCCAGAGAAAAGAGTTCCAAAATTGCTTTGAACAGTGGACTAGGCACTGGTGTCAATGCACAGCTTTCCAAGGGGAGTACTTTGTACTTTAGAGGTGACAGCAGTGACATTCAACAGTGAGGTCTGCAGCACTTTTTTTTTTTTTTTTTTTTGGAGACGGAGCCTCAAGCTATCCCCCTGGGCAGAGTGCCATGGCATCGCGCTCACAGCAACCTCCAACTCCTGGGCTCAAGCGAGTCTCCTGCCTCCGCCTCCCAAGTAGCTGGGACCACAGGCCCCCGCCACAACGCCCGGCCATCCCCTGGTCGCAGCCGTCATTGTTGTTCGGCGGGTCCGGGCTGGGGAATCGAACCCGCCACCCTAGGTGTACGTGGCTGGCGCCCCAGCAGCTTGAGCCACAGGCGCCGAGCCAGGTCTGCAGCACTTTTTAAGAATGAGTTTATGAACCTAATCACCCGACCTCATATGTATGTGTGTGTGTGTATAAAGAACCATACTGTATTCCACTTAATAAAGGTTGGTTTTGGGAGGAGAAGACAAGAGATAAAGAAGACCATATTAGCAGAGCCTTACAAGGGTGATCAGGAATTGTTCCAGACCAAAGGAGCAGACTGAGAAAAGCCGTGGTAACAAGCTACTCATCGTCACTTTAGTAATGCAGGGACACAGCTTTGTGGGAAAGGGAGACAGATCCAGAACATGTTAGTAGCAACTATTTTGTAAAGAGGGGAAGCTCTGACTGTTGAAGTGGAGCACTGATGTGACTACAAACATGTGGAGAAAGAACGGTTCTGATGGGCCCCGAGGAGAGAAGGGAAGGTGACTAGGGGAGCCCTGCCATCTGGAGGTGAGGGGTGGATAGCTGAACAAGGCCAGTTACAGAACTAGGGACGCAAATGAAAGTGAGGGTTCCAGAGATTCTGTGAGAAGTAACTCTAGGACTTCAACTCTGGTACCTTCAGGGTTAGCTTAGGGAAAAGAAAGCACATCCAAAAAAGACAGCACACTGGCTCTTTAAAAATCAACTGCCACAAGCTAAAACAGTTCTGCTGTTGTATTTTTCAAGATTACACAAAAACATTAAATATCTCTCAAAAGTAGAGGTTTATTTTTCAGAAACATACTTCTGTTTTTTCAGTTGGCTTAGATCGTTTTTCTTTACATTTAGACCAGTCAAAATCTTCTGAAAGTTCATCTATGAGTTGTGATTCACTCAGGAGCTGCAATACATGAAACACTGTATATTAAGAAGTGCCTATTTTTACTTTGTTAAAAGTTTTCATAGAACAAATATTTTCCTGATTAACACGTAAGAGCCATGCTCTAGAATTTAATTTATATAGATATATTTTTTCATTTGTCAGTGTAAGATAAAAAAAAGTCATGTAACAAATAAGGAACACTGAACACCTCACTACCACAAAAGTGTAAATAGTTTAGCCTAAAGTTTTCCTGATACTTCGATTTCAGAAGAATTTTGTCCGAATAAAATTGCCATTCTCCCCAGTGAAGACCTGTACAGTCTATTAAATGTGATTATTGTTTTCCTATTTCCTTTCTGAATAAGTCAGAGGAAACATAGATCACACACTCCTTTCCTTATGACTACATTGGTTTTGACAGGAAAATTCTGCTGTCCCTAGTTCTTTCAGGGTGGGTGGTATTATCCATTTAGAGCATGTGAAAGGTTGACTAATAACAGTAACCTATGCGATTCAGAAGCTGAGCCCCAACAAGGGCAGCCTGAGTTCTAAATCCTGGCCTTGCTCTTTTCTAGCAATAAGACCCTAGAGTATTTACAGAAACCCTCTGTGTCTCAGTTTCCTCACTGGGAAACTGGGATACTGACAGTGCCTTCTTCGATTCAGGTAAGACTCAAAAAGCAGTGTCAGACACACAGTAAGCAATTAATAAATACTGTTTATTAGTAACAGGACAGGTAACTCACAGTAATACAGAATCATTAATTAGATCATTTCATCAGGCTCAAACTCTAAGCGCTGGCTTAACAAAATTTAAGGATCCTTTTACATATCAGCTTCTAGAATTCAATGAATGTTACTAGAAATTTACAGTTAATTATTTATGAAAAAAATAATCACTGAAATACAGTAAAAGGATTCTTGGTTATCAGCCAAGTTTACCATCAGAAGTTCCCCTCCTCAATACTTGTTGACATGTGAAATCTGGTTTGTCAAAATTGTCTCAATTTATTCTCTATATTTCTATTGCTTTTTCAGTATCAGAAGAAAACTTATTTTCTAACCTTGGGTTTTTCTTCAGACTGTGGCAATAGTGGTTTCCCATCTTTATCCTGTAAATGAAATTGAAAATTCACTGAAAATGAAATTGAAAGTTTTGCTTTCGTGTTTCCAGTTCTCACATTTCAAGTTTATCTTTTGGAATTATAGGATATGGGAGATCAGCTTATTTTTTCTTACATTAGAGCAAATTATTTCAGATTAAAATTTATAAAGCATAAGAATAGGAGTTGAGCTGTAAAAATCGACATGTTCCAAAGATGGTGCACATTCACTTTTCTTAAAAAGTTACTAAAAAAAAAAAATTCATCCATTAGGACAATAGGAAAAAAGAAAAATCTTTGGCAAGAAAGGTCCAGCTAATAAATGAAAGATTTTGAAAAAGTTTCAATTCTCCAACCCAGGGTGATGTGGTAGATATCATTTCTACACTACTATTTAGTTTTTTGGATATGAAGTTTCACAATTTAGATTTCTAAAAATGAGAAACTTCTCATATATATGCATATATAAGAATTACAACTACTTTCTACCACATATTTATATGCATGATTTTAAAAATAAATTACAAATGACATAACAGGAGTTAGTTCATCACCCTAATCACAAATCAAAAACAACAAAAACCACCTTACCTGAGGATACTGGTAAACCACTGGACATTTATATCTACCACTTAGATGATCTATGGTGCTTTCATGCATATAATAGTCAAAAATAAATATTCCCAAATTGATGCTGGATACAGTGGCTCACACCTATAATCCCAAGCACTCTTGGAGGCCAAGGAAGATGAATCATCTGAGTTCAGAAGTTTGAGACCAGCCTGGGCAAAAGTAAGACCCTGTCTCTACTAAAAATATAAAAACTAGCTGAGTGTTTGTGGTGGGCGCCTGTAGTCCCAGCTAGTTGGGAGGCTGAGGCAGGATTGGTTGAGGAGTTTGAGGCTGCTGTGAGCTATGACATAATGGTACTCTACCCACTCTGCCCAGGGCAACAGAGTGAAACTGTCTCAAAAAAAAAAAAAAAAAAAAATATATATATATATATATATATATATATAGTCTCTTCTGCTTTAAGTTTAAGGATTAATATCTGAAACACATGAATTTTGATAACCACATGGTCACTACTTAGGAAGCCAGGCAGGTATAAACCATCTCTCAAGGGATCTAACTGTAGAGTGGAAAAGAAAGGGTTCAGGGCTTCAGAGTTCCTGCATGAACTGGGACGGACACGCTCTCAGTGTCAAGGGCATGGGAACACATGAGAGGCCAGGTGCTGTGCCAGGCCCTGCGGCTGCAAGCCTACCATGGCTGGCTGCAGTCTGTACTCAGACGGGACTGTCTCCTCATCCTCACCACACTTCTCTAGTCTTTCTTCTTTAGCTTTTACCTGACGGAAACAGGAAAGAAAACAAAAGTGGTTGGATAATGCCTATAAATGTGGTGATACCACTTTGTCTGAGCACCCAAGTGCTACAGTGAGGTAGGAGGACTTCAGAAGGAGTCGAAGCACAAGGCCCCAGAGGGCAGCTGTGAGAGCTGGAACACCCCAGGGCACTGTCCTGCTCTGCCCCCAGCCACTGTGACTGTGGGAGGCCACTTAGCCTTTCTTTGGTCCAGTCTCTTCAGCTGTACAATGTAGCTACTAATATTCCCTATCTGGCTCACTGACTTGTGAGGACCACCAGAGCAAAGCAGAGACCCTCTGAAGACAGTGAGCACAGTATCAGCTGCGATCATGGTGCCAGTCTCATCTGTCTGACTCAGCCAGGTGGCTCTCTAAGTCCTCATGTTAAACCCAGTTCAGAAGAGTATCCCATCTCACCTCTTGGCTGAGCATACATAATTGGTTATACCTCTTTAAAAAGACTCCCTTCAACAACACCAAAACATCTCTGGCAATAAGTTAAAAATATCTTTGAACACTTGATGAGCCAGAACTGTTCTAAGCTTTGGAATTAGTTTTATTGTTTTATAGAATAGTTCTCATTAAGGAATGAAATCAGGGGTTTTAAAAAAATATTCTACTACAGGAGCTGAAACACGTCTTACTCTGTAGCAGCCCTTCCCAACTCAGGGACGTGTGAGATCGCCTGTACCAGGGCTGCACACGCTTGTGGAAAGCAGGAGTCACACACGTGGCCTCTCTGATCTTCATATTCTTGAAAGGCCTGCACTGTGGTTTCAGTAGGCATTTTTTAAAAGTCTACTGAATTGAAATAGCACTAGACTACATAACCACACCAAAAAATGGGGGAGATTTATAGTGCGGTATCATCATACAATAAAAACCTTCATGCTATGACAGATTACAACACCAAGGAGGAACAGGCCTCTTCTCTGGGGCATCACATGATTCGGCACAGAGACCTCAGGGCTGAGCTGCAGCAGCAATGGGCACCCTATATGGTGACAGCAACCTCGCTGAACCTTGTCAACACACCAGACTGTCTAAGATAGGAAGAACTTACCATCAGGCACTCAGAATTCAGCTTCAGACTCTATAGCGGTGTTTTTCAACCTTTTTTTAATCTCACGGCACACTTGAACCTACAGCTAAACTTCCACAGCACACGTAAATTATGTTGATTCACCAAAGAGTAAAAAAAAGAATATACTTACTGTGCTTTGAACTTCTTTCAAAAACAATTTAATTAATGATCTTTAAAAACGTTCACAACACACTTAAGATCGCCCCATGGCACACCAGTATGCTGTGGCACACTGGTTGAAAATCACTGCTCTAGAGGTCAGGAAATATTTACATTCTGTACATAACCATTATGTCATAAGAGTAGAAAAGAAGAATTCTTTGTGCTGGAATTTTAGTTTACTGCCACTTTAAGATTTTCTAGAAGGAATTTAATATATTCATACACATCTCCTAACTAGTTACCCACCTGCTTACTGAGCTATTTTTTATGTCACTTTTTAACATCTATTTATCTGATTTTACTCACTCTAAGAGTCTTTTCATCCTAGAATTTATAACATGTTTACACATTCCCTCCCCATATTTACTGTCTTATTAAATCACCATAATTATCTATAAAAAGCCTGGAGGAAAAGTGCAATTTACTTGTGGCCATATAGCCATTAGGTGGTGGAACCACAACTCTGATTGGTTTCCCAACTTGCCCCAGGTTCTGCCAAGATCACCCTCTCCTCACAGTGACATTACTTCTATCTGGTGCCTCCCAGTAACGTGCATCTCACACTGGGCTGTAATCAGGGTCCCTTTTACCCTGATATACTACCTGGTCCTGTAGGACAGAGACTGTTTCTCCTGCTCCCCCACATTCACCATCGGTGAGCTTATCATGCCACAACGTGGCAGGTAAGCCCTCCAAGTACGTTGAAGATAGAAATTGGCCCATCTTAGACCAAGGCAGTCCCAGACTCGGTGGAGTTGCTGGGAGTCAGAGAGATTCCCTTTCCCTAACAACTCAGAACAGGAAGTGACAGCAGACATGGGGCATTGTGACAGTGACACCTGCCAGCTCCCCTTCCCTGAGCTGATGGGGAGCCCCGGGGACTCCAGCCTGACTCTCCATCTTCCCCATGACACTGCCTTATCAGCAGTAAGTGACTCTTTCTCTTTTTGCCTCTTCTTCCCCAGAGGACCAAGTTGAAAGATTCTACAAAAATTATAATTTAATATTACAACATTCCTACACCAGATACATGCTTGCTTTGGCTCAGAAGCCTTGCTACTATCATGGGTGTAGCAGGATGAACATAGTATCATGCGCTGAGCCTGCAGGAGCTCTAGTCACAGAGTTACTGTTGCTTGATCTTATTCTAACTTGACACAACATTTCTGACATCTTTACTGCTAGTTAATAAAAAGAGGATCTTCTCATCCCTGTGTGGCCATTTCACATTCTCCCTTTAAAGAGGAGTACCCTGAACCCTTCTTAAAAACACAAATTACCAATTTCCATGAGAACAGACAAACCTTGCTATTTCTCATCAGGCCACAGCCTCTTATCTTGTTTAGCCAGGGGCCATGTCGGCTATGGCGAAGGAGGTTGGTATTCATTTTTAATATTCAAGATGTTTCATAAGATAAATGCTCAACTACATATCGTGGTTGCTGACTCTGCTACAATAAATATCTAAATGAACAGACTCTGAAATTTCTTTCAGAAATTTCGGCAGAGTGGAGAGTAGTTCATTTTCAATCTCCAGTAAGGGAAAAGTCATACAAGAATTCTTAACATGCACTTTGCATTTATTTTTGTAGCCTGCAGACTCACACACTTTGTACATCAACTCCAAGGTCAGTACCTCATCGACTTCCGTAACAGAACTGAGGTCAAGCTTGGGTTCTGGTTTCTGGGTTCCCAGCGAAGCTGACAGAGCCTCAAGGGCTTGGTCGCTCATGGTATCCTGTTAAAAATGAAAAATTCCATGTGTGAAAAGTGAGAACATCTCCGAGGGATGAAAGATCCACTTCTTTATGAAATGTACATTTTAAATATCTAAGAAAAATTGTAGATTGAGAAAGTACTTTAGGAAGACAATTTTGAGAGCCAGCAAAAGAGTTCTTAGAGAGAAAGAACTTACCAACAAATAAAAATTGGGGCTAATATAGGTTTCTATAGTAAAGGGTACCTTCTATAGTGAAGGGGTATACATAACACCTTATTTAACAAGCTAGAAATGTAACGAGAATAATATTATTATAAATATTCTTAGCAAAATAAAAGCTGCAAGTAGTAAATTTTCATTACCCTGTTTTTTCTTTTTCTAAAAATATATCCCTAGAAATGGCTCTGACAAACCAGTCCTTTAGCAGAAACAGCTAAGGTCATGAGGCAGGGAAACTCGAAGTTGTCTGGCCGCCCTCTCCTGTGACTGTGCAGTGGCTGGCTGAGCACTGCAGGAGCTCCCTCCTGCTCTCAGGGGTGTGGTGCTCACCATGGGCCCCGAGCCAGCCAGATAAAAACACACTGTCCACTGCGGGGAGAGGGGCAGAAGCAGCTCTGATAGAAACTGCTCCTGAGCACTATCTTGGCTACAGATGAGACACGCTTTCTCTGCAGCACTGCCTTTGCAGGATGTGAGGATTAAGTCACAGTCGATTGCAGTTAAGAGAAGTAACCAACAGCAGCTCCAGTGGCATGGAGCTCAAACTCTTTTAGAAAATCAAAATTGAAGATTTTATGTTCCAAAAGTACAATTTCTCTGCTTTCTGCCCTTGTTATCAAAATGGTGAGATGGTCTTGGATCCTGACCAACAAGACTGCTAAAAATCACTGATAAGCATTTACAGAAGCACGGGAGGCTTGTTGGGAAATGATCCCTACAACCCACATCGGCTTCACTGTGCCACACAGGTCCTTTCTCCTGAAGGAGAAAAGACCGTGGCTTCTCACACGAATGCACCTGGAATTATTCCGAGTGAACTAGATTAGCCCAAGGAAAGCACAGCTGTCAGGTAGCAGTCCCTGGTTATTTTCAAAGAAGTAATTATTTGTACCTTCTCCACCTTTCTTTTCTTCTCCTGGGGTGGAGCAGCAGTTCTCACTGTCCTCAATGACTGAGCTTTTAAAACCTCTCCTGTAGATTTCTAAAAAATAAAATACAGAAGATTAGATTTACAGATGGGGGAAAAATATAACTGCATTAACTAGAACCAAAAAGTCTCTAACAAGCTCTCCATAATAATACTAAAAACAATACCTCTTTTTCAGTTTTCATTCCATCTACAGTAGGAGAACCACAGGTGAAGTCGGATGACAAGACATCTATGGCATCCTCCGGCCCCATGGGTTTCTAGAGAAACACACGCAGTGATGTGTAACACAAGGAAATCATGCACATGGAAGAAAGAATTATAAACCCAGCAAAAGAAGAATAAACTTTGCAAATCCCTTGCTAACAAATACGTTAATTAAAAACCTTAGATCAAAGTCCACATTTTGAAGAGAATTGGTATTTAATAAGCATTATTTCTTTCTTTTGTATTGGTATTAAATTGGTATTTAGTAAGCATTATTTCCTTCTTTCCTACCAGTTGGTAGGATATTTTTATCCTATTAACCTTTCTTTAATCCTAATACTTCCTTGGCGTTATTCTCCTTCCCC